ATATTGCGATCCGAAGAAAACCTGATCATCTTGTCAATATTATAGAATTTAAAATTCTGCCACATAAGTGAACTTACTTTCGTTACTAACTTATGTTTCGAACCCTGAAACGATTCTCTCATGGAGAACAGTTTGTGCGTAAACAATAACCCCGGTGTCACACAGAGGTTAATAGGCGGTTACGGACTAAAGTAATTGTTGCTATCCAGACATGTTACATGTTTGTTTCCTATCATAGTGGCAATACACTGATTCATCATTTCTCCAAGGTCACGGATATACTCGCAATTAACAAAAGATAAAGTCTTCATACTATAATTTGTGACATTAAAATCCGCTGTTTGTTTAAATATCAACCAAAGAACTGTAGTTTTTATTAAAAAAAAATATATACTTTATAAATCTCTATAGTTTCTTCATTACAAATTTTATTCACATTCTTATTAAAAAAGACAAAAATGGTCATAAGGTCGAGTTTAAAAACCATTTATCTGACTACCAGTCCAAAGGCAATTAAGGGCAAGTGTGCAAAGGCCCGCTCACCCAATTCCTCCAGTTCTTTGCACTTAGTGATTTATTAAAAGGTCGATATTACATACACTGACATGATTAAAGTGTGACATTAGAGTTATTTATAATATACGTTGAAATCAATGTATGCTGCAACAAACCATTAATTCGTGATGAATATATACAATGCAAGGTAAAAGGATTAAACACTAATTCCTGTATTATAAGCAAGCAATACTTGCAATTATCAAAGCCTACTAGCACGATTTTGTAAAATCTCGAATAGTGTCAATATTTTAATGGGAACAAGATAAACGGCTTGTTAACAAGACGTGTTGTCAGTTTCACAATATATCAATGTGACCATTAGGATTACCATTAAGAATAGATACATTTGTTTTAACTCCATATATCTGTTACATTGGGGCACGGTTTGTAAATGTGATATTGTATAATGTAGTAACATTTTATACTTGCATCAGAAATATATAATTATAAACCTTTCAAATATAATGAATAATGTGATTAGGTTACAGAAGAAATATACTCAAAATGTAAACTATTCTTTCAAAAGGATTAAACTATAATGAAAAGAGGAAAAACACTATAAAAGTAAAACAGATTTGTTTTACCAAAGTTTTTTCTCAAGAATGACAATAACGAAATTGTTTTAGAAACTCAAACATCTTCGTCATTATATTAAAAATTGTAGGTCTCATGAAATAGACAAAAACTTTCAAGCAGATATCCTTTACTTACTTCCTTCCATCCTCTAAGAATTTATATTATCTATGAAATATGAAGTTTCCTGTTAAGCATGGAACGCATGATGCATCCAAGAATAATACACATATAAGTTTTTGATTTTAAAAATTTGAACAAACGATACCTATTAACAACAACAATAATAAAACGTGTAGTATCTATTCCCGCGGTACTACAGCTTAGAACACGAGCTTTCTAGATCGTGACTTAATAAATCTATGGAATGTTTGAGCTATCAAGTAAAATCACAATCGAGCCTGTTAATGAGAAACAAGCACGCCAATGACCGTCAGTTAAATAAGAATCGTCCAATATAAATTGATTTATTAGCAATGACTCACTACATGCACCCCTGACATCAAGTGACTTCATGACAAGAGCATATATTGTCCGATTAAAACTATTTGCCAAGCGAAATTTCAGCTCCCTAAATCCATCAAATTTTATTGGGTTTTAAAGATGACCAACATGGTACCATATAAGTCAATATGAATACCATTGAAAGTTTTAGTTGATAATCGTTTTAACACAAATTCAGTACACACAGGCACAGGTATTATCTATTACTGATTAAGGTTATAAAATCATAAATAGACAAAAACAACCATAAATAATACCAGTGTAATATACAACAAGAATCTGAGTAACAGTGCCGAAATAAGATTCAGTGCTAATAATAACATCCTTGAATATACAGCTTTATTATGAGTCACTAAGATAAGAAGCAATGTGCTTATAGTTCGACGTATTTAAACGAAATAGAAATGAGGAAGATATCTCCTTCTGTTCTTTGACAACGATAACTAGATAGGCACGAAATGCTCTTCGGAAATGAAGGTTTATTTGTATTCCTAATTGCTAATGACATAATGACCATTAAACATTGGGCAACCATTAAGGAAAAGATTGGTGGAGTCTGAGCAATCAGCTACTACCTTTATGTTTGTTTTATAAGACCGATTTGTTAAATCCTGCTATATTAATTTTATCTACTTCATGTGATTTTGGGAGTCTTTGGCTGAAAGAAATAATAAGAACAATAGCCATGGTAAATTAAGACGTCAATAAAGCATAACAGAGAATCGCTTGAACAACAGTTGCCGGTCGAGTATTACCCGTTAAGGGCAGTTGGCCACCCGTACAGAGTCCCCTGCAGGCGTCGTCTAAAACCCACTAAACCTGTCCACAAACGCGGTCGCTGCTGAACGACACGCTCCATCTGTGCTAATCGAAAATTATAATTAGCTAATTGCTTATGACCATAAATGCGCAAGTTAGAGGTTGCAATCAGTTATTATATTGATGCAAAACTACTACATGTCAATTTGAACAAATCTCTATTTAACGAGCCAATATTAATGACATAGGAATAGCGAGCTGGTTATCAGACTTTTGAGTACAAATAAACGTCTAGTTGTATTTGCGACAAGTACTTTTAAGTAATCGTCGTCAGCCGGTTACGAGTACCTAACTAAGAGGCACAAACAAAATTAATATTTGCACATTTTATTTAATTTATTAATAATAATAAACATTTACAGTTTTGATACTCGTTATATTTATTCAGTGACACATAAATAAATATATTCTATATCTATTTAGATATCTATGTATATAGAAGTTGTTACACATTACTCTATGTAAAACATCGTGATGGAACTTGAGGATAATAAAAAAATTAATATAAAAAAAATATAATATTTAGAAATTATCTTGGTAATCTTTTTTTAGTATTGACAGATAATATTTCAATGATTCATACTTTAAAATTTTGCAATTCGTCAGAATGACTGAAATATTTTCTATGAATACCTACTGCCAAATAGGTCGCTATGAGGCGTTGATCAACAACCTATTTCAAATGACCTATTTTACACATGTTTATAGAAAACTGTAAATTGAACTGCAAGTATATATCGTTTTAGGAGTTTGCAGTGATTCGACGATAAAGTTGTCAAGTATACCATGTAATATGGAGGATGATGGAGTAAAGGATTATTATCAAATACCATTTGCTAATCCTTCACTCCAAGCATGTTTGAATTCATTAATCTGCTTCGCCAAAATTTGTTTTTGTTTAACAAAATTTAACATTATAAATTCTGCTATTTATTTACACTTATAATGTATAAATTTAAAAAACTATTATTAAAAACCGCACCCTTTATCACATCGTATACTTTTCTTATCAACAAATAATGAATAAGCTTTCAAAAAAAAGAAAAAGTTTTCAAGTTCACTTTCAAGAACAATCCATCATTTGACAATAACAAATATTATAAGACACTTGTATTAAAACTAGCTACTTGAAGGGAAAGTCAATTTATGTAACCAATAGTACAAATAGAATCAATATTGATTATGATGATCAATGATGATTGGAAGTTAAATTTTACGGCGACACGCACGCAAGCAAACGTATGCTTGATAATAGATACAAACGCAGACTTGATTTATATAGATGTCATAACTGTATTGGATGTACTTTGGATGCCAATTTTTGGCCTTAAATAGGACCATTTGGAGTTGTTATATATAAAATGTATGTTGAGAAACGTTTAGAGGATTGATAAAAACGATATTATAATATGATAATTTTTAAAATAGCTTGATGTGATTAAGTAATCACGGTAGATGTTAGTTCAATTAGTTTTTAATCAACTTTCATATAGTCTTGTATTGTTTTCGTTTTCATCTGCAATTGTTTTCTGTGACTATATTACGCAATTATAAATTGATTTTGAATTATTTTTCATTTGATGGGGTATACTTAAATATTGGTTCTAGATTAATTTTCCTGTTTTTCTTTACGGAAAAAAACTAGTTGTTACAAAGTAAATTTTACTTACATACACACTATTCTACGTTCTAAATTTAAATATTTTTAATCACGATACATCTCTCCATTTATCGACTTTTTTCCCATAGCAAAATGTACTTGTTATATGACTAAGGTACTTGCGTCTATCTCCACTTATGTCTATTCATAACGAGGCACAAATGCGACATCATTTCACCGTAAAGAGTACTGACTACAAAGAATTTCTTCTTTTCTTAATTAGCATCTAATCAAGGGATTCATTTAGTAGGATCCAATATGATTTACGAGCTGCGCACGGTTAACTTTCTCACGCGCAGTGAACTGTAGATTCAGCGCATCTCAATGTCCGGCACTCACAGGCTTTACTGCGAGAAAGTTTTATATTTATAGATGTTTTATATTCGCTTGCTTATTTAAAAATATTAAACGACCAGATTGAAATTCCAATACATGTACAAGGTGTAAGAGAAATGGTATGATTATTCGTCCCCTTGGTAAATCGTATTCATAAAAACATAACAACGAATAAGAGTCAAAATCCTACTAATATTACAAATGTGAATATTTTTAAAGATATTAGTTTATTTATATATTTATTCCTCAATAATATCTGAAAGAATTTAAATGAAATTTAGTATACAGGATTAACAGATAGAATTTTTTTCCTATTGACAAAATCCGAATGTGCCTACACAATTGTAAGTAAAAATTCATTCACCACGAATAAAAGTTGAACATATCATTTTATACGCAAAACATATCAATTCATTATATACAAGTGACTATTTAATATTTACGACTGCACAGTAATAGTATTGATAAAAACTTCCGCATGGAAAACTGCTGAAAGTTGCAGGAGGCTTCAGTGGCGCCCGGGGGCGGGGAGGTGCGCGTACGCAAGAGGCGTGGACACCGGCAGCGTGCCGGCTGTCATAGCCGCTGCGGATGCTGCGGCGAGCGCACCTGTCGTACGCACTATAAACAAACAACGCACAACAAACACGCGGCCCTGAATAAATGAAATAAAACAATACACGAGACTACTGTGAAATGAACAGTGTGAGTTTAGTGACAGTGACAATAAATTACCATAGATCTAGGTTACCCTAGAAGTATCCGCGTCTGTGCATCTGGATCATCCGTAGGTCGGTACGTAGCGCAATGTTTTATCATCTTATCACATGTTTTGATTGTGCATGCAACAGGTGTAGTGCAAATTTTAGTTGTAGAGGTATCTTTTAGAGAACGTTGTATTATCTCACACGTAACTATTTAATATCTTAAAAATGTGTGTGTTATTATTATGACGTTTTTAAATAGTTGCCAAAGTTAATTAAAATTAACATACTTGTTATTGATTTGCTTGAATTTAGATTATTAAGTATTATTAATCATCCAGAAAAAAATAATAATTAATATTTTTTTTACCGATATGATAAAACTTTTAAATTATATTACAAAATCGTAGTTAACTTAAATTTTTACGAAATTACTTAAAATTAATTTAGTACAAACTTACATTTTATATAAATATGAGTATCTATCTTCATGACATAACGCTTATAGTATACTAGAATTATTAAGTAGAAATATAGATTTCTCAAATTTTTATAAAAAATTATTAAATTATAACTAGTAACGTATCGTATTACAGTATAAAATTATCGGCTGGTCATAATTTATGATTCTACAAACGAATTACTTGACGTCCTTCAAACACGTAGATTGGAACATTAAATAAATTTATAATATTAATCAAGATGATTTATACTAGAGCTTTATAATAGATACGTGCTTGCCTACATGTAAGTACGTTTTCTTCGAAGCAGTTAGATTAAAATAATAAAATAACTATAGTCTGAAATAAACCCATCAAAACTGTAAGCTGTACCTACCTATGTTCAACGATGTACACTCAAACAGCACACATTACCTTCTCTATTTGAAACATAACAATAAATTAACAGCTACTATTAAGCGAGCCATATGCGGTTTACCACCTTCAATTTAGTTATCTTAATTTCATAATAGTTATAATTATCCCACTAAGTTTTTAAAAATGCACTGTTAAATTCGACTAAATCCAATAATTTTACGTTTTTTGTTTCCTTCTTCATCAAATAAGTAAGCAGATAAAAACAAACAGATGCTGTTCTCTTAGGTAAACTGATATTAGCTTAGATATAAAGGAAGTCCAGCTTTCCCTAAAAAAAGTTTCCTTACGTACAATTAGCAGATTGCATAAGTAAAAGTGTAGAAAAATTGTAAATGTGACCTATTTAACAAAATATTTTATCACACAAAAAAAAAAACATAATTTAGAACACAAAATCATATATTTGTTTATAAGTATAGTACTTTTTGTCGTAGTAATTTTTTGCTCCATAAAGAAAACCGCAGCTTTAATTGATCCAAAATAGGACCAACACGAAACCAAACACTATCGATTGCAAAAAGAATTAACAAAATAATGGATTTTGTTCTTTTCATCGATATATAGTAGTAATATATAATTATCGACGTAAGCTCGTAAAAGGGTCCCAAAAATACGAAGGAAACCTCCCTTTCGAGCCGCCTAAAAAGTTTATTTATGGTACTTGTTTATTCATAATACAATTTTGTTTAAATACAACCATCTAATTATAAATGATAGACATTACTAGCTTTATTAATTTTACACTTTAAAATATCTCTAGCTTATTTATACACTTAACTATGGAACAGACTACATTAGAAAAAAACAGACGCGTCCGGATTCCATTCAGATATAGGTATAAGATATAGCTAGGGAAAAACTGGTAATTGATAATATAGTGCATTATAAATTGCGTTGTAGTTGATGTGTTATGGAGAGTTGACAAACTGAACTAAAGCTATAAATTTTACTAGTTACTAACATTTTAATTACATGTATCGTTTTTAAGTTTTATTTGTGCCTAAATGTAATTAAGTCTTAATTAATATTGTAAAGAGAAAAGAATCGACTTTTTGTTTGTAGTGGATATATTTAAATAAAATACTTAACCAATTTAAAATATTATTTCACTTATAGAAAGTTATTTTATCAGGGAGTACATGAGCCGTGTTTTATTTTAAATAATTTAATAATTTATTTTCTACCTATATATTTATGCGAAGCCAGTAATCTATTTACTAATTACTAATATTTTACCTACAAATTATTATCGTTCTGACGTTTTATTTTTGCCTAAGTGGAATTCTATTAGTGACCACTTTTGGAATTACCAGCGATACTATTACATAATTAAATATTAATTAAAATAATAATTGAAGAGATTGCTTTAGTGACAAGACCGCTTTTTGTAAGTGTAATATATATTTTTCTTTATATTAATGTTTAAGTGGTTAAAGTATATTAATTAATAATATAAATATACTTATCATCGTCAAAATTATAAAATCCCTTCTAGGCCTATGAACAAGGGACACAGAGGTAGTCCTTTTTTTTTGACGCCTTATGACGTGTCAATTTTAATTTGCATAAATTTACAAAATCTGAATATATATAATTCGTGTATATAATTTTACTTTCGATATGTATCTATCTTTTCAGTGATTTAATTTAGTCGCTCTCGAATATGATATGTATATTTTCTTTGAAACAGTAATGCAAGTATTAAATTCTATATGCAAATATTTAATTCGTTGAAAACAAATAAGTCACGTTTTTATATAAAATTCTAAGATATTAGAAACTTACACCACAAGAAATTTCATTAAATTCCTTAATAAATTTTCAAACAAACGAGTAAAGAAATAAAATTATTTCAATTTAACAAAGTTCAAAATCCTCACTGTATGTAATCGCCTTTAAACTAAATACACAATGACGTACTCGTATTGCGTCAAATAAGAAAATTGCGAGAGGACAGACAGGTAATAAAAGAGGTCTAAAATCTAGATATATTTATTTTAGTAAAATGTCACCAGTTTAATCTATTACGTCATTTCATTAAGTCTGTTTTTATAATGGTAGATACCTACAACAGGGTCTGATGTATCTTATAAATGAATTGTTATTAATTTTAAACCAAATGTATGTCAAGGCAATACAGAAGGATGTGATCGTGCACATTTTCTATTGGGCGAGGCTCCGAGACTATTCACAAACCAAAATATTCATTTTAAAATTAAGACAGAGACATAGTTTATAGTTTTTATTCTTATACAACAATAACTGTAAACCGTAACTATGCATGTAAATTTAGATAAAAATTTTACTATATTAATCTATGATACGATGTACTCTTATACGTAAAATTAAAAATAAGACGGCCCACCTGATATAAAGCGGTCATTTGTTACTTATAGACATGAACATCTACACAAATACAGAATAAACTGTTGTTATGCCACACCTGCAGACAAACGACGAAGGTGATATTATAATACTTGTATTAAACATCCAATATTTCAGAATAAAACAAAAGTTAACTGTAGGCACTAACTAGTGTCGCAGGCGTCTATTGGCTACAATGACAGTTTACCATCAGACGGGATGTATGCTTGTTTGCCACCTTCGTGGTATAAAAAAGGCATTACTGCTTTATGACTTAATACAGAAAAAAATTGAAACCGATACCTACTGAAGTGAGTAGACTACCGGAAAAAAAAAAAAAAACAATATCGTGAGGGCTCTTCACAATTATTACAAAAATGTAGTTACGCTACGCCACATTTCTATTAGATATATTTTTAATGAGATATGTATTTAATATAAAATAACGAATTAGTTCATTATTACAATACTTTACGATGCAATTTGGAATGACAAACAAGTTAACAGCAGCTCACCTAACAACTGGTAACTGTTACCTACAGACATGAATATGAATACCACACACCTCAGAGCAAACTATGACTTACATGGCACCTCTCATCTACGCAATTTCCATTTTTAAATAATAAATCAAATATTTGACATTTAAAATCTAGACTATAATCTTAAAAACAAACATACGTGAGGTCAGGTTCAAATAACTGTTTTCTAATAACTATGCCAAATATGTCTAAACTAAATAGTATTTGAAAAAATACATTATAAACAAGGTGAGTAATTTTTTTGAATTTAAATACTACAGAGTATCAACAATTAGATATTGCACTACAAAAAAAAAGATTTTTTTAATTGCCACAAAGTCCATATGTACTAATAATTTCAGTATTTTTATTTCAAAATAATAAAACACATCAATGGACAACAACAATATTATATATATTCAAAGGGGAAAAATTCAAAATAAATCCTATCGTTACAAAAATAATTATCAAAATTGGTCCAGAATCTGCTAAGATGTCGAGGGACGTTTTAGTATATGTTTAGTTTTATGTGTCCTTTATCTTTAAAGCTAAGAGTATTGGAACATAATTCATGAGTTTCAATTGTCTCCAGCCTCCCACCTTACATAGTCTTGTTAGGCAAACTGACAACCTTCTCTATTTTGGAAGTTGGAAACGAAATAATTTGTTACAAGAATAATCTGAGTTGTCATGTTATATAAATTTTTACCTATATCAAGTTAAAAAAGGGTTCAGAAAACCCAATTAAGAATTTATTCCTTGTAAAACTAATGGCATGGCGAGTAAACTACTAAGAAACAAAAGCAAATTATGTCAGTCATTAGTGATATAAAAATCTCTGGTGAAATAAAAAAATATATAAATCTTGTCGTAACCCCAGATGGTACCCCATCATTGAGGTCAGAGGGAATAGCCAATTGTTGTCGTTATGATGAAAGATTTACTACCTTACTTACCTCTACCTTACTAGATTTAATACCTGCTTTCTTAAAAATAAATCTTTAGTTTTATAAAAATATCCGTGCGGTGACGGAGTAAGAATGTGCCTTCCCTCTTTTTTCATTCCCTGGATGTCAAAGGAAGCAAATAATGAAAAAAAAATACCATACAGCAGTAGAAGAGGAGGAAATCTCGAAATACAACTAAATTAAATTAAAATACAATTTTATATAGGGAAAATATTCATTTCAATTGCTTTACTTATGTATCTAAATATGATTTTTTTATACAACTTAGAATGGCAAACAAGCTAACAGTCCACCTGATGGAAAGTGATAACCGTCGCCTATAGACATGAGCAGTACCATGGACATAACAGAGTATACTGT